ATAACATATTATGGGCTATTTTCGGATTAATGAAAAATGGGATCTCGACCGAACTTCTCACTCATTTTCTGATATCTCTTTCTATACATATATATATATATATATATATATATAGAGAGAGAGAGAGAGAGAGAGATACAGAGAGAGAAGTGGAGGATTAAACGAGAATGCTAATTACTTAAGAGAATACGAAAACGGCCAAATCACGTTCAAAATTACTTACGATTTTACATTAACAGCCAAAAAAGGTGAGTGGACGACTTTGGCCGCGTCTTCAAGTCACATGGGAAAGTCAGACGCGGCCAAAATCGCATGAATCACATCTGATTTTGTACGTAATGTTAGCAAAAAAATCGCATGTAATTCGATCGTTTTCTTATTATCTTAAATAGGTACCGATTTGATCCCAACTTTCTCTCTACATATAGTGAGTAGTTCAAATAAAAAAGACTAAATATCGTGAGAAATAAGAAGGAAAAGTTAATAAAAGATTCATATGTGAATCATTGTAAAAATGAGAAAAAAAATCTATTTAAAGATGTATATGTGAATTAACGTTATTGATTATTCATATAATTCACATATGCATCTTCAAATGAAATTTTGATTTGATTAACCTGAATATCCAACCCGCTATGCGAGCCGACTAATCACAGGGCGACTATCTGCTTTGCAGATAGCCCGGAGTCATTGCATTTGAACCTCGTGGCTACAAGAGATTTTTATTAATTTTTGGATTTGAACCTAGGACCTCCTGGTACTTTTGGCTTTTGGAGTCAAGCTCAAACCAATCAGGCACCACCCTTGTATTTTTTCACTACTTCACATAACTTTCCCTTACATCTCATGATATTTAGTCTTTTTTATTTGAACTGGTCTTATATATATATATATATATATATATATATATATATATGAGTGATCAAATACAAACCACACAATTTGTACAAACCGTGCAGACCACATTCAACCAATAATAATTTTTCATTTTGTTTATTTATTTGTAATTATAAGAGGTTGATTAATCATTTTTATTGTGGAGGGTGTTAATAATGGATATTATCGTCTTAATTATTTTAATTTTAGAAAAATACATGAAACAGTTTCATTAAAATTTTGTTAAGTATTATATGAAATAATTTTATAACCATATATGAAACAACTTTATCAAAAAAAAAAATATTATATGAAACTCACAAGATTAAACAATTTCATGAAAAAAAATTCATAAGATTAAACAATGAAATCGACGGATGAGGGTGGTTTGCACAGTTTGTACAAATTAGGTGGTTTGCATTTGATCACTCCCATATATATATATAGATAGAGAGAGAGAGAGAGAGAGAGAGAAGGGGGGGGGAGGAGGGAATGGGGGGGAAGGATTAAACAAAAACATAGTCAAATTAAGCAAACAAAAAAAATGACGAAATCACATGTAATTTTGTATTGAAATCACATGCGATTACGAAACATGGTGAACACAAGGATGAGTGGATGACTTGCCCCATGACTTTAGGTCATCGCCAAAATTGCGTGAATAACATATGGTTTTACACGTGATTTTAATGTAAATCACATGTAATTTTGATGTAAAATCACATGTGCATTCTCATGTTCTTTTATTTGGTCACAGTTCTCGTTTGAATCAGACTATATATATACATATATAAGGGCATGATCGTTCGATTGCAAACTCGACTTCCGTTCCGAATTGGAGGACAAGCGAGAGCTCGTCATGTATCCCGAGCATTCATGAGATATTTATGATGAATGGTATGACATTCATCATGAAGTTTGTAAAAAAATCCACGTCCATTATTCATGATATTTGGAGACATGTGTCACGTTCTGGGTTGCCACTCGGTTTGCTATAGAAAACATGTGCACAAGTGAACTTCCTCCATCTCTCTCTCTCTATATACATGCATACATATATAGATACACCCGTCCTTCCATCCATACATATATACCTACATTCATACATACGAATTTCAAAATAGTGAATGTTTTGCCTGGGTAAGGTTGATGAATTTATAATTTCATAAACCTTACTTATAAACAAATCTCAAATTTCGATTCCAGTGAACGCTAACTAACAAACTTCGTAGTGAAATTATATGAACAAATTCATTTTAAGAAAATTGCGAATGTTAATTTCTTAGGAGTAGTTCCCTTGCAATAATTACATTATATACAGGTTAATGTAGATTGCATTGACTTGAGTTTTGACCACATGCTGCGAATGAAAAATCCCATACAAAGATGAAATTATGTCGCAACTGAGTGTCAAGTTTTCCTGCATTTAGTTTACCAAAGTGATCATCTTTTTATGTCTCTTTCAAGTTATAATATCCTCACAAAGACTCTGGAAACAACAATTGCAAAATTGAGCACTAACATTATCTTATAAATGTCTTCGCAAATGCCTTCTTTTTTTGAAGTGCTAGTTACCCTTCTGTCTAATCAATTGCTCTCAATTCGAGCTGTGTCTGTTCTAGCTACCCATTGGGTATTGACCATGTCAGGTTTACGTCTTATCCGCCGTCATGACCAAGTTACGCTAGGAGAAGGTAGTGGCTTAAAGTGGCCTTCTTACTCAACCTTAATTACGCCAGCGGATCAGCTGACTGGGATCTGCGACCTCCACTGTCACCGACTTGACATCCTGGAATTTCTAGATGGGTCATGATCCAGCCAAATCAATCCCTAGATTTGTAGCTGAGTGTTCAATTCCTTGGCATCGTAGCTCAGCTGGACCATATTGCTGAGACTTCTTAAGTTGGCATTTTCAAAGCACTTCCCATGACTTTCTAAGCATTGTTCATCTTAGAATTTCATACCCGCTAAATTTAGACCATTTAATCATCTATATATGTCAGAAACTTCCTTTTCCACCCAATGACTTTTTTGAAAAGTAATATAATGGGGTTCCTTATATTTCTCACATGGTATTGGAGTTAAAGCCTACCACTCTAAAGACTCGACATTCTGGGGCAATCCATACTCATTACTCCCCCCCCCCCCCTCTCTCAACACTGGGGGATCATTGATATATGCCCGTATAACCTAACGTCGGAGGACCATGTCAGAGTTTTACAACAATTAGACTTGGACCGTCTAATCCTCTATATATATGTTGGAACATCCTTTGTCTCCTCGAGGACTCTTTTGGAGAGTGAAAACGAAATTCCAAATTTATTCTCACTGTTCACCTCTAGTATTTATAGTCAAGATGTCTTTGCGACTAAGTTCAGATGCCGCACAAACCTATCCTAGAAGTAGGTTTAGGACTACTATATATGGCTACCCACAAACATTACATGGTAAGCGATGATGTTCAGTTGAGCATTTTGCAACTACACAAGTGCCATTGGGTATTTTCAAGACTAGTAGTCCATGTAATGCAACATGTTTCTTTGAAGGGAAAGGGTTTTGGCTGAGTGTTGTTAGGTGGAGTGTCAAGCTTACTTGTCTATGAGGTGCATATTTTACCATTGCTTGGTAGAGTGTCTACTCAGAATTGGGATTTCATAACTAGATTATAAAGTACAATGCACAATGCACTTTTATTTATATATATATATATATATATCTATATAGGGGCTGGTTCAAATACTAACCCAATATTTTGTGCAAACTATGCTAACCCATCTTAATCGTGCATTTTCTCATCTAACGGTTATTATTAAATGAGATTAAATAAACAATAATTTAATTAATAT